CCCCCTCCTCCTTCACCACCTTCTCCTCCGCCTCCTCCACCATCTCCTCCTTCACCACCTCCTTCTCCCCGTCCTCCTCCCCCTCCTCCTCCATCACCACCTCCTCCCCCTTCACCACCTTCTCATCCTCCTCCACCATCTTCCTCTCCTCCTCCTCCTCCTCCATCACCACCTCCTCCTTCTTCATCACCTTCTCCTCCTCCACTACCTCCTCCTGCTCCTCCTACTCCTCCTCCTTTCACTTCCAGTGATTGCCTTCAATTTCATTGGGCGGAGTAAAAAGCGGTCATACCTGTGTCAAGACTATTCTAACACCTTCCGGTGTCAATGTGTCAACCGATTTACTGACCGATGGCAACATCATAAATAGAAATACGATTGATGAAATATTTTGCTTTATTTTATGTCTCCTTTTTTTTAGCCAGAGGATAAAGACTTGCTGAAACAGACTCAATTAATGGAACTGGCAGTGTTGAACGGTATTTTTTCTTTCTCTTCTTTTATCTCTCGTTTTTTTTCTCTCTCTCTCGCTGTGTGTGTGTGTGTGTGTTTTCCTATCGCTTAACCTCGGCGCTTTGTGTGCACCTTTGAGTGATTGTTGCACTCCTCTTCTCTGCCTCCTCCCTTTCTCCACTCACCTTCTCCTTCCCCTTTTCAAGGTCAAAGTTGGGTCACGAATTTTAAAATTCACCTGCATAATCATTGTTACTCTCGATTATCAGTTTGTTTATTTTTTTTCTTGTCTTTTCGGGTGATTTTTTAAGACTAAAACGAGCTACCTTCTTGCCGTTCCTCCCCTCTTCTCTCTCTCTCTTCATCCCATCTGAAGGCAGAAACATCTACTTCTGCATTATCATCGTCATTAGTGGTGCCAAGTTTTAAAATAACAGGAAGGCTATCTGATGCGGGCAAATTTAGTGTCCTTCCTTCTCCTCTCCCTCTCGTCCCCTCTCCATTTGCTCAGGTTAAAGTTGACAGAATGACAGAAAAATAAAAAAAAAGAGGAGAAAGGTGGCGGGGGTGGGGGCCAGAGAGGGAGGAGGGTGGACTGGAGGGGCGGAGAGGGCATGTGGACAGCAGTCATTATATTTCCAGTCATTTCTTAGCATCAATATGGCACCGTTTTGAGATTGCACTTTGACATTTGTATTTGTTTATTCAATTGTCTACAGTTCTCCTTCTTTTTGACCCTGAGACAATGAAAGTGAGGTCACAGGGAATGAAAGAGGAGGGGGGAAGAAGAAGAAGAAGAAGAGGGGACACTTAACTCACCTCTCTGCTAACAGAAAAATTTTATCATCACTACTTAACAAACCACTTTTTTTTACCATTTTTTTTTATTAGTAAATATGATGAGTGTTTGAAAGGGGGAGGAGGGTGGAGGTAAGGAAAAAAAATCAGCCAATCAGATTCCTTCATTAATTAAATTGAGGTGGTAAAAGGAGGGACGACGAGGGTGGAGGCGCCTCACCTCCCCATCTGTCAAGCCGTCCTTTCCTTTTCCTCTTTTTTTTTTTTACAAAAAATTTATAACCTCAAACTATTAAACATTTCTTGCATCACCTTTCTTTTTAGTGCATTCTTTCATGCTACCCTTTTCACGATATGTATATATTTTTTTTGTTTAATTTGAGTAAGTTAGGCCACTAAAAGTACGAAGAATCACATTGACAAAAAAAATGTCCTTTTGTGTTGGGGAGGTGAAGGGGGTACTTTTGTGTGAAAGCAGGCGAACTAAGAGACCTTCAGTGCTGTGATTTGGGGTTCACCTACACTCTCATGCGTCATTCACTTCAATCAGACACGTTGAAGTGTCTTTCAGACAGAGAAGAAGTTGAAAGTGCGCACTCGCCTTGCTCCATCGAAGGAGGACTGAGCATTGAAGCCGTGACCGCCTCCTCGTCCGACCTTGGGGCTAGAGGGATCCAAGGGAGGAGGAGGAGCAGCCATCATCACCCCCCTCTTCTTGCATACAGAGGGAGGAAATAAAGGATTTGGATGTCCCTGACAGTACCTCTTAAGCTAGGCTACACAAACAATTGTAATAGTGAATAGACAGACAACTGTGTGCTTTGTATTCAGCCGGAAGGAGCAGATGATGTGAAAAAGCAACAATTAATGGAATTGGCTATCATAAATGGCACCTATCGCGAGCCTCAACAACAGCATTCTCGACATTCAACTAGTAGCACCACCGCCGCTTCCTCTCAGCACAGTTCACCGTCGCCCCTCTCTCCCAGTCTCACTTTCGACGATCTTGAGAGTGAGTTGTGGCCTCGTAATCGGTTTGAGCATGTCTCGTGCCTGTGTTGTCGTTGGTGTTGGTGCCATTGGCTTGAGTCTACATTCACCTTTCTTATCTCTGCATGCTGCTTTGTGTTGTGAGGTCGTAGGGAGGAATTGCGGAATGTAGCTCAACAGATAGCGTTCTTGGTGTTGTCTGGTCTTCCTCCTCTGAAGCAGCCTTCCAAACGGCCAATCAAATCAGTTGTGAGTCATTGAGTTGATGTCCATCATGATTTAATTTGTTCCTCTTCTCCACTAAACCAAGTTGCTGACCTTCCACGACCTCCATGAGGATGACGACTTGAGGCTGAAGGCCATTGAGTGTCAGTCCTGGAGCTCCTCGTTGATGTAAGAAACCGTACACTCGCACCCAACCAATACACTTCCACAGGGCAAACTGATGCCACTTTTATTCCTTCTGTAAAAAAAAAAAAAAAACAAATCCTCTTTTGAGGCTTGATTTGTTGTGTGTGACCCCAGTCCACACAACTGGCACACACGAAGACTGTATTTTGACAAATTTTATGCCACCTCAAGAGTCCTACTTCATTCTGCGTCATTTCCGGCTCCCTCCAAAATGACCCATTAGCACGCCTTCCGTCCTAACGCCCCAATCCACCGAGCCAATGGGGCTGAAAATGTCCATCCAGGCAGTTGAAAGTGGTATTTTGGGATGGGGCGAGAGAGAGAGAGAGAGAGAGAGGGAGAAAATGCCTTACGTTAGCCCTACATATTGCCTGCTACGGACTGTATTTCATTTTTAATAGTTCATACTTACTTGGCATTTTTGTTTGGGTCATGTGGTCATCCTCTCTCATCATCCCCTCGCCTTTCCACTCTCTAAGTTGGGCTTTTCTGTAAACTTTAACACACCTTTTAATCCCTTTCCTTTTTCACTTTAAGTATTCCTTCTCAAATCTAACTTGACTGTCACAATGTTTTGAGGGAAGGTGGATGCGGGTTTTGTTTAAATTTACTCGAACTATGTTGTAGCTTCTGACATTCCTCCCTTACACACATGACGTTGTTTACCTCCTCGCGCCCCCTAAGAAGTGGTCTTCATCAAACCTCACACAGAGTCCACCTTTTTGCCTGCACCAATTTCTTTATGCGACAAAAAAAACGGAATTGTGAAGAAGGAGGAAGGAGAGGAGACATGCATTCCCTTTGAGGTATTTTTTACTCTCAATACACAAATAAATCAGCGAGGCATTGTTTGTCAGAGGAAATGTGAACGCAGGTGGATTGAGGAGGGCACAGGACACACAATGCCCTGAATTCCTGGGATACAAAAATGGGGAAAAAAAACGACTTGACGCGCATTTTATTGCAGACTTGTTATCAACTATGCCGGAAGTGTCGAGAGATTGGTGGCGCGACTGACAGGAAGGCCGATTTAATTGGCGACCGACAAGGTCGCTGTAATTAGAGCATTTAAACAAGTTGCAGGAAATGACTAAGCACTTGAAAGTTTAATTCAATTTGTACTGTATGTTTTTGACTTTCTGCTGCCTTGATTGCTATAGCGGCAACAAAACTTTCCCTTGTTTTGGTTATTTTGCTACTGCTTTTCGGTAGAATTTGGCCTATCTTTGTGCTTGTGTGTGCATGGATGTTGCGAGTCGTTTTTTTTTTCGTTTTTGAATGCACATTCATTCAGCTTTGCACTAACCCATCCGCTTGCAATGAAGATAAGTCGGTGGACGGAAGTTGACATGTCTAGCACACTTGTTGTAGACAAGGAGCGTCAACAGGCTCAGGTACAACAGATGACCCAACAGCAGCAACATCAATTCTTGTTGCAACAACAATACCTCTCCATGCTCAGTAGTCAATCGGCAATCGCAGCAGCCGCCGCGTTGGCTCATAACCCCGCAGCACAGTTGTTAGGTCCTGCAGGACTTCGATTTGGTGCCCCTACAGCCTCCACTCACCCATCTACAGCAGCAGCAGCGGCTGCGGCTGCAGCAGCAGCAAATCCACTGTTTTTAGGAACTAACCCCACGCCAACACCTGTCACGGCATCGACACCATCTGCTGCTGTAGCAGCAATGAATTTGGCAGCTGCGGTGATGGGAGGGGTACCTACCATCTCCCCCGTTACCTCCACTACCGCTGCTGCGGCACCTCCTATTGGTGGAGCGCTATCGTCTGGTGAGTTTGGCGTGAAAATTGATAAGTTAGTGAAGGTTTGCTGAATCAATATTGGGTGGTAGATGTGAAGAGTCAGAGCAAATCATGCTAGCAGAGCACTTTGGTTGGAATTCATGAGGGCAACATTGAAATTTCGCCTTTGATGTAACGGTCGTTTATGGTGAACCGGGACCACTGGTATTGCGCATACAAGGTTGGATGCCACTGCAATGGCACTAAACTTTTTTGGCGAATGATAAGTGTGTGATTTCATAGTGGGAAATAACCAGCACACGTACTAAGTCGCAGTCCAGACATCGTTAATCAGGATGACAGGCAACAGTTGTAATGTGCACGTAAATTTCTCAACTGCAATGACAAAACTTTGCATACGAAAACCGCTTTCTTCTCCCTTACTCTGCAGTAGTAGAGACACCATTTGAAGTTGTTTTCTTTGTTTCATTCTTAAAAGTTTTCCACTTCCCTTGTAATTTGGCGCATAGATAAGACGAGTTATTTGGGTTCAGCTGCCATAAGATGTGAAACAGCTGCATTTAGACTGTACTCTAAAGTTCCAAAACTTTAAATACAATCACCGAAGTGGGGCAGGAAACATTCACTACTCAATACCTAAACCTGAAGTATAGGTGTGAAGATGAATTCCTCGAGTTTTTAACTTAATTGAATTGGTTAATTCTTCGATTATTATGCATTAGTGAAAGTGTTCTTAACCCAGACTTTGTCAGTAGCATCCAGTAGTGACACTTTTGGAAATTTAGCGAGTTCAAAAATTTATATTGTACAGTACTGGTGGTAAATTCCTAAGAAGCTATCAAGATAATTCTTCCGGATTTGTTTAAAGTTTTTGGTATTCCATCTTTAAACAATAACCTTGAACGCATAAACTAGACGCAACTTTAAAACGGTTGGTTTAGTTCATCAGAATCGCACTTTCCTTCACAAACAGAAATAAATGGCGGTATTTTAGTTAATGGAAGATCAGCTCAAACAGGACTTAAAATCGTGATGCATTCAAGGCAACCATCTCGACAATGTATTACCAATTTGAGTTTGTTGCAACAACTAAACAATCTTTGTTAGGGTTCATGAAAGTTGACCACTGAGTTGCTATTTTCGTAGCCCTAATAAGAAATACGCAGATGATACTTACTAACGGCGTAGTAGCAACCCCTTTTCAAAACCTTCAAAAAGTATCAGATTTTTTCTCAAACCTCTTTCAGTGATTTAAACCTTACCTATTTCTGTAGTTAGATAAAAAAAGGTAGGAACAAGTTTAGCTTTCTGTGAATGTAAAGTGGTATTAATAACTAGAGTTTTGGGTCAATTGGTAAGGGAGGAGTTACTATCCGTGCAACCTATCGAACTATTTTGTCGTGTGCCATTTTGAGACTTTTTCGAAGCTGTATGGGCCAGATCGGTGGAGAGCAACGTGCTCCGTACTCACTTGTAGAGGCGATAGAGAAATCATTAGCCTCGTTGGAAGGCCATATTTTAGAGATGAGGCACAATTTGCGATTGCTAAAATGTTCCCTTAGTTAAATCCCACAACCAAGTGAACTATCAGCTCACTATAATTAACCTGAAAAATTCACCCTCTAATCCAAATAACCAAGTTTTTTGCAAAAAAATCTGGCATAGTGTAGCTAAACCGCATTAACCAAATACAAGAGCTTTACTATACTGCAAAATCGAAAAGGCCATCGTCAGTGAAGGTACAGAATACGCCCAAGTGGGAATACCACTGCTAAAGAAGCAACATTTTTACACCATGAAATAATTTCAAGTGCCCTCCATAGGGTTTTTGCAGTGAGTGTGATGCATCACTCCTCGAGGTCCAGATTTGAGACGCGTTTATGGGCTTAACATGGCACATTTTTCTTATCACAACAGTAGCTGCGCCTCATTGGAGGCATAGGGTAGTTAATAAAGCAAATAAACCAACTTTAGAGCTAATTTGCAGGCCACTGTGCTTTTGTTGATGTACTACATACTACTTATTAGTCTACAGAAAGTTTACACAGCTAGTGGCGTGGTCGGAGGTCATACGAATGAGTTGGGGCATGACCTCTTGAAACTGAACCGCCCGCTTAATTAAAGTCACCAGTAAAAAAAGGAATTATTAAAGCACCACCGATTGCCAAGCAAACAATTGAAGTACTGCGAAGTTGAGCAACGAATCATGATTTTTACAGGGTTCTTTTGGATCATGCCTCCCTTTTCGAAAACCTCACTGGTTCTATGCTAACTACGCAATTTGACTACGACTAAATCTCTCAAGATTTGGTCCCAACAATAATGGTCCTGAGATGTCCTTCACCTTAAGCACTGATGTCAGGAGATTTGCCGGATTCTTGCCTCCACTGAGGTCAGTGGTGACCTTGTAACCGCTCAAGCCCCGGATTCCTGCAAGGTTTAAGCATCATGTCCACCATATTTATCGGTTACACGCATTTTTCACAATTATTTAATCTCAAAGTTTACCAGCAAATCAAGTCGTTGAGAAATCAAGACAAACTGCAGCGTTTTGTCTCCTTTTTCTGTTTCCAAAATCCTTTCTCTCAGTGTGTAGTCAATATCCATCCCCTTCACCGCTACTTCCGACATGCTCCCACAACCAGCAATAAAAAAGGCAATTCACTCCTTTTTATTTGTACCTCTGAGGGATCAAAGGGACTGTGGCTTTCACTTCCTCACTCTCCTCCCACTTTAAATGTTCAACCCTTTCTACTACGCATTCTGGTAGATCAACTAGCCGCTCTGTTGGGGGTAACTAATGGAGCAGTTTCGCCAAACAGTGCTGCCAGTTCTGATACCTCCGGGCAATCGATGGCTGCAATAGCTGCTGGATTTCCTGGCACCTTTCCGTCCCTCCTTCCATGCACCTCCGCAAATCCGTCCAACCCTACAACTGGAACCATTCTCGGTAGCTATTCCAATGCTGGTGACCTTGAAAATAATTCAGGTTAGTGTTAATTCGGAGTCCTGAAGAACATCAAGCATGGCATTACTGAATAAAATGTGTTTAAAGGTAGGCAAAAGAAGAATTATTAGATGCTATTGCCTTCATTCGCCATTTAAATCACGGAAGAGTAGTAACTGAAAAAAATTAATTGCAATGGGCGTCACCTAACCGTGTCATCCCAATTTTCTTTTGTGAATTCGGCGTCACACGCACTTTTTAGGTTTGTGATTTTTTTGCGTTTGCATCACATCAGGCGATTAGGTTTAATGTAATTCAAGTTCTCAGAGTGAGAACACCCCCGTCTTCTTTCTTAGCTCACTGAAGAGCAGGTGAGCTCTCAACGTAGGTAAGCCCGATTTAGGTCTCCGTAGGCAATCGAGGTGGCATTTAGCGCGAGTACTTTTATTCAATTTTCGCTTTTTTAAGCCCCTATTTGTAAAACCTCAAAAAGATCGACATGTTATGCTGTAGGCGGTATGAGGGTGTGAAGCCGTGTGCTTTAAGTGGATTTAGGAGACCCGCTTGCTAATTTAAAACTATACTCCTACTTATTAAAAATAAGTAAAACATGTTGTTTGAATGCTCCTTGACAGACAGACAAAGTGAAGCAGAATTTTGTTAGCAAAAGCCAATTTTTATTTAAGGTTCGCTGAAGATGCGAAGCACCACAGTTCCCACCGTGCGAATGCACCCTTACCTACGACAGTAGTTCGGTCGGTCCAATTTTTATCTGTATGTAACTGTTTATCAGTGTTTGTGAATGTAAAGTTCAACTTTTTTTATGCTAACCCTACTCTTTCTTTTGAGCAGCTCAATGGCGGAGTTTATTTTTGCTCTGTTTACTACATTGTGTACACACGAACAATAGTGATGATACGACTCAACACCATCAGCGCCCTCTACATGAAACAGTGGTTGTGGTAATCTACATAATCCTTTCCCTCCCTTCCTTGTCTTGTACTCGTTAAATTTCACTTTTGACTTATTTTTATTCCTCTGTCTTTTTTGTGTCTGTTTATTTATCCACCTCTCTTGAAACGCAACTTCACACGAAAAAGATCTGTGATATTTGAAGACGGGAAAAAAACGAATTGAAGTGGATTGAAGAAAGCTATGAAAAGCGCTGAAACATGACTATACAGTGAGGAGAACTCGGTATTTTTGTAACGGCTGCAGATGTTTCATCTCACTTGCACCGACGCCAGGAGCACAAATTCTGGACTCGAACCAAAATTTACTATTCCATCCTAACTTCCCCCATTTCTTCTGTCTTGCCAGTATTTACTCTATTTCTCTCTTCAACTGCAGCAAAGTAATTTAATATATTCTTATTTTATTCTGAAATATTTTATCTTTCCCCTTTTCATCCCGTATCGATGTCAATACTACGAGGATCTGAAAGGCGGCTAAATGGAATTTGTACTGAATATTTATAAGTAGAAAGTCTAATTTAAGTCATACTTGATGTGGAACTCAAAATAGACCTTGGTTAGACCACACTACCTACGTCTGATTCGTTAGTGGAAATCATTTGCATTGACCATTTTCTTACCAGATGTATGTGGTTTATTTTGGAAGCTGTAGGGTGGTTCGTTGTTTTTGTTTTTTTTATGTCACGCCCTCTTTCACGTTAAAAATGGCAACAACTCTGAGGAAGTGGACTTTGTAGTAAGATATTTGTGCGTTCCAGTGGTTACTGTGTACAAAGAGCCTGCATCCTTATCGGGATGGTAATAGTCCATACAGCAGCTACTCGTATTTGGCTCAGGTGAAGTGAACTTTACGAAACATCATTTTGAAAGCTTATTGGATGGACAAACTTTCGCTTTGTACTAATCAGGAAGCAGAAGAAGAAGCAGAGGACCTTAGCAAAACTCCCTTATTAAGCCACACTCAAGTGGTATGATATTGGAGCGATTGAATTAAACGGAGCGGTGCCCTAAGTGCAGGTTAAAGTAGCCACTGCAGTCAAAAAGCTTTGCCATTCGTTCATTGTCAAATGTTGTGCTGAAAGGCGTTTTACTTTTAATTGATGAGGGTGTGACCAGTGTGTAGGCACCTCAAAAAGCCAAATATTCTCTAGCATGAACAGTTTTATTGCATTTCTCAACGTAATACAATTTGAGATCCTAACAATGCATGCTACACGTTGTAATAAACTTTTGGGGCCTAAAATGAAAGGAGAGTTGTGAGAAATCGAATCGACACATGCGTGGAGCGTGTTGAATGAGAAAGTATCACCTAAGTGACAATTTCACTCTGTTTTAAGGCCATCTTCCACAATTCCACAGGCGTGGAAGACAGGCACTGCCACAGCCGCAACCGCAGCATCCTCCGCCATGCCTAGAGAAAGGAAAGGCTCATAAACTTTAACTTAGAAAACACTTTTAATTGAAAATGCAAACAATACTTAGCGTCTTACCAGCAGCCACAGCCGCCACCACATCCACAGCCCCCAAAACATCCGTTGTGCCCACAGCAGTCAAAAGCATACCTCCCATAGCATCCGTAGCCAGCGTATGAGCTAAAAAGGAGATGAAAGGTGGCACTCAGCACTTAACGACACAATGTTGAGGCGTCTGCTGACCTATAGATTGATGTACTCACTTGCATCCCGTCCAACTGCAAGGATCGTAACAGCCCATTGTGACGCAAAGAATGCCTATTCCTCTTGATTGCAGCACCGTTTATATGCTTTGCCGTTGTCCGCTGCGTAGTCGACCTTAGGAGTGCGAAACAACCTCAACGTCATACGCCACAAAGCTGGAAAAAGAAACGTAAGTACCAATGCGCAATTTCTCAAGGCACACAAAAAACTAGTTAAAAGGGGGGCAATTCAAGTCATTTATAATGCAACATGTCGAGGCGAAAATTAGGGAAGAAAAACAAACCAAAAGAAGAGGGCGGCCAGTCTACAGAACTAATATATCTTTGCTTGCCGCTGAAGTGTATTTCAGTAGCATTCGACCATAAACCGGCGCTGTATGAGAATACATGTAAGCATTCAAAGGACATTTGAATTGACCAGAATGTGGTCAGGAAAATTAGCTACCTAATTGTTGCTTCTTGATACATCCTGAAAATAAATTCGCTTTTATACTACTTTGCAAAAAATTAAGTAGCGTGTTGTGCTCACATTCAATAAACAAAATAATTTTTTGTACATTTAGAAGGCAACAATGCCTTAGACCACATTCCAACTCAATTCTTAGTCCATTCCTGGGCCTTGATTAGGTGTTGTAGGAATTGTCACGACAACTGCGGGCCTTCAAGCGGTGAAATAAAGTTTAGTCCCCAGAAACTGACACTCCCGTCACTTCGATGAGTAGGTTTGTTATGATTAGACAATTCTTCGTGAGAGAAGTGAAGACTGGTGGGTTTATATTGACCTCGAGGAATCAAAGGCCATCACTAAGACATGAGGTTCGCATGCACCAACTGATTTTGACCGAAAACCCACAAGTAGCATTATAATTGACTAAAATTTATTAAAATTATCTTTCACAGCTAAAGGCTCAACAAATCACATTAAGTAGACTTTCTAAAGGTCTTTCTGAAGCCGTAAGAACACTGTATTTTGGAGAGAACACCCATTTTCGACCCAAGAAGATCACCATCCAAGCCGAGGCTTCGAGATTACTTGCAAGGAAAGGAATAATGTGAGGTTTTAAAATGGCTATGCGTCAAGGATCATTTGGGACGAGAAGGCGTCTGGAATCATTCTAAAAAGATCTGGCAAGGTCAAGGGTTTATGAACCGGTTAGTTCCGATACTTTGTTCTGGCAAACTGTGACCTGGTTTTCGTAAGCAACTATGAAGTTAAAAATAAGGTCAAAAAAAGTCAAGCAAGGCGACGTGGTGAAAATACACAGCCTGTGGTGAATAATTACTGCTGTAACTCCTTTATGGAGGCTTTTTTTCTCTCATCACCCAATAAGGCATCGGCAAAAGTTTCGGTTCGTGCCTCAAAACTCACAAAGAGACTTCGATTAAGTCAGATGCCGTTGAACTAAATAGGGTTTTTTTGGATGCAAGAGAAGTGCAGCTATCCTGTAAGCGTGGCGTTGAAAGCCAAATATTAGGGTTCATTTGTTAGGCTGTCAAATCGAAGTTAAGGTCGCAATCAGACATTTAAGTGAGGACAGCAGTGGGTTCCCGAGAAGGACAATGCAGAGCATAAATTTTTGCAAATTAAAAACTCTTCACCTTGTAATATTTCATGTATATACATATATATAGCGACTATCTGACATTTGCGGTCACTTTAGGATTGGCCTGGTCCTTGTACACATGAGGTGGCCTTCAGGCCATGCTCAAGCCTATTTGCTCTGTCCACTTTAGAATGCATAAATCCAGCTTCACTCACTGCATTCTTCCACCCGGTAGAAAGTCTCGGGAAACTACAGTGACCACCAGACGTCTGACGGCCATGCTCAGGTCTAATTACTTTGTTCTCACTTACTGCTTCTTTTACCCGGCGGGAAGTCTCGGAACGCTACAGCCGAGATACATAACTTAGGTCCAGCCTCGTTATATCTACTGCCAAATAAAATCTCTAATGATTCTAAAACCATTTTTCATGGAACTGTCTAAGAATAGTTCATAAAAACCTATCTCCCATGGACCAATAGCGCTACCTACACTTTGATGTTAAAGCAACAAAGGAAATTATGTAGGGCTGCAAGGCACAAAGAAGATGTGTTACTCTTTGGTAGGTAAATAAATAAAAGGACAGAGAGGTGCAAAATATCCCGATTGATGAATAGTATGTGCGGTAGAGTAAAATGCAGGTTGTGGAAAAATTTTGTAAACGTTTAAATGTCAAATCTTAAGTAATACATGCAGCGTCCCGAGGATTCCCATAGGGCCGTAGAAGGCATAAGTGAGGGTGAATATATGTATTCGGAAGACGACAGGGTAAATGGGGCCCGAGCATGGTCCGAAGGCCAGCCCACGTGTACAGGGACCATACAAATTCCAAGGTGACCGTCAAGCGTCGTGGTCACATAAACAAAGCACTACAATACGTACTTATTCCAACAGCAAAATGCATTTTGTAAAATATTAATACACAACTAATTTTCTTTTAAATATTTAGCGTATTATTATATTAATATAAGTGCTCCATCGTTTAATTTCACTGCCGCTGCAGCGCGTTGTCTGAGTGTTATCAAACAAGTACTTTGGGCATGGGGAAGGACTTAGATCGTAAATTTTTGTCTCGGCGGAAGTTATTTTGCTTGAGGCTCCAACGACTTTCAAAGTTACTTCAGTCTTACAAAAAAGGCGAAATCTGGCTATGTTCACTAGGCCGTCTGGCTTACAACGCATTTCTTCATAGTGGTAATTGGACTCTTCCCTACCTTCGAGTACTTTAGAGGATTTTGAGCTGTTATCCTTCGGTCGACAGCGTATTATGTGCATGATGTGGATCTTGCTTACGCAGCATAAATTTGTGGAGGCTGCTAAACTTATGGTCTTTGCCATTCATAATTATACAATGTCGTCCTCTTGGATTTGGCGTGCTACTTATCAAATTTTTAACTGTATGAAGGCTTCTATTTATTCAAAAGAATTTAACAAGTGATTTGATTTGCTCATCTGCTTTGTAAATTTTTGGCCCTAACTTGAACACATTTCGTGTCGCCTTTTAGGATACTTAATCAGTTTCATACAATCGATGAAAATAATCGAAATTTGGAAACTGTTCTCTCCCTGATGGCGGGAAAACATTGGAAGTCTGCTATTCACAGTAACTTGGATAATAACGTAGGCCAATAGTAAAGGCATTCGCCCCCGTTGCTGGATTTTCTTATTTATACGCTTATTTTAGCCATCCAGGAGGCCAAGGCGAAGGGATTTCTCCAGAGAGCCTGAACTTCTTCATGTTCAACGGTTGCATCGACTCTATGTGGGCCTCGCTTACTTTGCTCTCTGGTTCCTTAACCGGGAACGCTCAGGTTCGTTACCGAGTTGCCTGACCAAATAAAGTGGTTAGACTTTTACTCACTTAGGTAGTCTGTTTTCTTTGCAGCTGGATTAACGTACTTAGAAAAAGCAGAATCAAAACTATCGGAAGTCGAGTCACTGATTGAATTTGGTCACATCTGTGACGTTTTTCTTCAGCCGTTAATTCAGGTAACCTCTTTCGCTAGTTTGTTACTTATTTCATCGGACTGGACACTGACACTCAGTGTTTTCTCTCAGTTTACATAATTATTTTGGCTCATATACTTTCATCTGGTAAACAGCTCTGCATTTTTTTATTGTTTTTCACTGTTTAATTTGTTATTGCATTGCTTTTGTCACCTGAACACGATGAACGGGGAATCTGCTAAAACCTCGGTGCGTTCATAGTAAATGGCAACTGGGTTCTGGAGAAAGACGTGTAGCTTCACAATGCTTTAGAGTGAAAAAAAACGGCACATCAGTCCTTAGACGTACATTTCCATTTTGAGCCTTTTACCATTTTGATTCTGCTCTGACGCGTTATTTCGCATGATTTTGATATTTTTTCACGTGAAATGTCTTTCTTTGCTATCTTAAGTAAATTTACTTCACCCGTGTTTGAGCTGGAAGCGTAGGCGTTTTGGGCAATTTTCACACTGTCAAGTGGGCTGAAGTATGGAGACACACTTTTGCATTGCCGATTCTTTCTGAATTTCCTTTCTGGTCAAAAGAGTTTACCAGTTTAGGTGCTTTCTTCCTTAAGGTATGCCACCGCTTTAGGCATTCCCTAAAGTTTGGCATTTAAAATCTGGCATAGTAGGCAATAGTCGGTTCAATTTGTCCCATTATTGTCACGCAGCATCTAGCGACTGGATCTCGAATTAATTCTAAATTTACTGCCTTCCTAATTAATAACTGAAAGTCTTGATTGCTTTACCAGATTCGCTTCAACGATAATCGTGCAGGTGCTATCCTTCCCCTGTTGGAAAAGTACGCCTCTCGTCAACCCTATAATCCAAACACTGACCGATTCCTCGCCGAGTGGTACCTCCATGCCGCCACCGGTAAAACTTCTTTCCCCGCCGATCCCAGGGGATTTCGCAGGGCTCTTAAAAAATCGCTTACCCTTGATGGCGAATCCATTCCACCTGTTCTCAAACATCTTGTCTCCTTTTCTCTCCGACTTCTTCCCACTCCTGCTCCGTCAAATTCGGTTCGAGGGGATGAAAACTGGCACTTTATAATTGCGGATATTTGTTGCTCTTGCGGTAGGTCGACTCTACGTTCTCCTCACTCCTTCTCCAGGCTTCTTTACAGAGGCTTTGGAAATTGTCTTCAAGTTGTTGGATCACCCATCATGGTGTGGATTTGATCAGCCATGGCGACTTTTACAGACTTGCGTCAGAAGTCTCGGTCTTTCCAGCGATGTTGTGTCGAAAATGTGGACACTGCGGGCTAGGACTTGGAAAACATACATATTTAGCCATCCAGATCTCTCTCCTGAGGGTTCTTCTGCGAAAAAACTTCTTCAGCGTATTCCACGCTTGAAAGGGGTCGAGTACCAAATTGATGACGGTTTTGGATGCATTATTGAAGTGACTCCGCTGAAACCTTGGTCTTCAAAATCCGAAGACTTTCTGTAACTATCGCTCTTTGTATAATAAAGTGCCTTCACATCAATCAATTTGTTGGATTGAATGCTTCCTCTTGGCAGATGAGATACTTGAGCACAAATTTTCATTTTAGATGGAAATTCTGGGCAAAATACCCGATTTTCAAGTGGATTTTGACAAAATTTTTGCTTATTTTCAACAAGCAAGAAGTAAACTAGCTAAGGAGACGACGAAGTCCAAGCCAAAGAACACGAAAGCTTCACTAGCAGCAACAACACAAGAATCCGAAGGAACGTGTGTATGGTAAGGGTTTCTTTTTCTTTCACTCCTCACCTGATACCTTTCAAGCCTCAATCGAAAAGTTTACTTCCCTTACGAACGCGTCACAATGTACAAACGCCTTCTATCGACAATTTCAACAAAAGCCGGCTCATCAAACCCCGAAGAACTACCCGAGTTCAAGGAGTTTCAGGAGCTTCATTGTAAACTCAGTGCAGCACAAAAGAAAGCTCTTGAAGACCTTCAAGCCTCCTCTCCTTGTGGTCATTTGGTTCTGCCTATGGATTTGGAGGAGTCTTTCATCCGCTACATTCACCAGGAACAATTGTCCCGTCTTTCAGACGGGGCTTATGAGCTCGTTAGTAGTTTAAAGTTTAGCGCTGAAAGGGCTTCGACAGCGAAGTTGGTACATCTCATGTCGTTTGGGGACGATCGTACTCTTGACACTTTTTCATTGAATGAGAAAACCCTCCCCAGATCAATGGAGACGAATTCAGAAGCAAATGAGAAGACTGTAAGCCTCCCCTAAGTATTTAAGTTATCCACCCCCTCCTCTAGATTGGATTCAAATATTTGCAAATTGCCCCTGAAGCAAACATCATCGTCAACGCGGATGTTCTAGTTCGTGTGTTGCCCTACCTCAAATCCAATTCGAAGTGTTTTTTCCCCTTGGATGTGGTTCCCTCTCCTTTGGGTGAGTCTGTGTTTCCTCTGAGGCACGACAGAAGGGCTGGGGAATGGGAGGTAGATTGACGTTGATCTCAGTACTCTGTCGACCACTATAACAACAGATTAAAGCTACCCACGAATCTGGAATGGGAAGTAGGGCATCTCTTGCGAGTCTTCACGACTTCGAAGTCCTGTGGACGAGCTGGCACCCACAAAATTCCCCCACACATAACTTGGTGAGACCTTCAAGAAATCTGTTATGTGGTGTTTGGGCGTTCTTTGTGTTGATAGGATCAGAGTCGCGACGCCACACTGTGATTGTCGAGGTCACCATCACCTCGACGCACTCCGGCTGACGTCTTTTGCTGATGGGAGGAGGTCTTCCCAAATTCTGTCCTATTGTCTAGGTCATGTGCTTCATATCTCCCAGATTTTTGTGTCCACGAGAAATTGAATGTTCTTTGACACTTAATTGTGTAATCTTGCACGCTTTTTAGACAAAAACAAACGGTCGGTCTTCCTGCACAAGCCCTTTCTTGGTGAACCGCTGCAAGACAACCGCTTGAGAGCACAAGAATGCTATACAGTGCTATGCAAGCAAGCCTTTGTGAGCGCTTCTCCAACTGTAAAGGTGGCTGACACTACCACCGCTAGTGGAGACCGTTCCAGTTCTGATGACGAAATGGAAGGTGCTCTGGCCATTGATTCTCTCGCCACCCAATCTGTTGAGGAGCTCTCACCCAATTCCCAGTACGTTTTGCCCTCATGTAGTGCCAGTTTCATGATTCTATTCTTCACCATTTCCTACTTTCTCGTTGTATTATCCGGAGTAGTGAGGAGCTGATCAGTCGAACATCTCGGAGACGTGGTCAATTATGACTACCTGTGTTTTTTTAGCTCCGAGACCACATCGAAAAACCTGCGAGCAGTTCTCGAGCGCTGTCATGTTGTGGAGAATGATTCAGGCGCCAGTGGTATGGAAGTCCTTCAAGAACCTGCTTCTCCAGAACCATCGACGTCTCAAATCGGCTCTCCTCCTCATCATTTCGATGTTTCATCTACTCCTCTTGGTAGGAAATTTACCTGCCTCCCTTCTGACGTCGCACCCTTTAGGCTCATTCATGCAATTAGGTCTTGCGATTAAAAAGTCGGGTCAGGGTTTTACGAGGCCATATTCTTTACTGATGTCTTAGGACCATAGATTTATGAGGTTTTTGTTTCTGTGTCCTTTTCTCCTTCCAAGAAACGGTACATGCGGCACCAGAGAACAACCGACGTTGGAGTCTCTTCACACTCGGTCATCTAAACATTCTAGTTTCCTCATGCGGTATTCAGTTGTCGTCCAAATCGTGTGCATTTACTTCGGGCTGTCTATTCTGGCCCAACTGTTCTGAGCTGTGGTCAGACGCGTCAAAATCAGACATCAAGGTTAGCTTTTGATTGGTAGAGATCAGAATAACTTATTCCATTTGTTTAGATAGCCCATCTAGAGGTTAGACCGGAGTATCTTCAACCATGGGGCTGTGAAGAATTGATGGAGGCCGAGATATTCTCCTCTTGGCTTGGCGCTAAACTTTCCTCACCCCACTCACCGACCATTCTGCGATGTGAGTTTTCACTACTTCATATTTTAAGTGCTCTCTCTAATGCGAACGATTTTGATGCTGAAATGTGGTTCTATACGCCTTCCTTTGCACTGCCTGACTCAGGAGTCCCGGCACCCCCCTTAATAAGCTAGCACAACATTACAAATACCCACCTATGGCGACTCTCGGGAATGAATGTGTTGCTGATGGTGGTGGAACCTCGATCACCACAGCCGAGAGCACCTTTAACAACTGGACGTGTCTTCCTGCCAATGATCGAGGGTGATCGCAGTCACTCGCAAGTTCGGATTTCGCGTCTCTGTCCTACGAGGCACCTCTTTCATTGCATTGTGGCACCGTCTGGATTAAGAACTGCAAACTTCCTAGCCATTATTGCTCCTCTTACCTTTAAGCCTGTGTCTCATGATCTGAGGTGCTCAGTTGAGCGTCTTTTAGCGTAAACACCCTCCGTTACTACTGCATACCTTACCATTGTTAGTGTCAGAGCGGTGCATTGATGCTGCTGCCATTCGAAGATGACTTAGAGGTGTGTCTCTTGCATTTTTTGCTGTCCAAGCTCGGGCGCTTAGAGTATTCTCATTCGAGA